AAGCCCGCGTGAGGATTCTCGATCAGATGGCATTTTGTGTCCAGGCTGTTTTTTCTGGTTTTGACGGTCACGCGGCGGCTTCCTGAGAACGTCCTCGTTCCTAGAAACCCACGCGAGCGGCCGGGGTGAATCGGGCTGGTGTCTGGAGTCGCCTTAAATATGCAGGAAAATAGAGGAGATGCGGCCGTGTGGGGAGAGCTGGCGGCCGGCGAGCCCGTGGGGGCCCTCGGAGTCCTCGTGGCTCCCGCAGGTTTTCTGGAAAGTTTGCAGTTATTTCAAACAACCGCGAAACAAGCCAGAGGCAAGTGTGCGAGCAGAGGCGACGATGAAAGTCCAGCTCCATGGCCTCAAAGGGCCACCAGACCGGGGCCCGGGGGACGTCGTGAGCCCAGCGAGACCGTCCTCCTGAGACACCGGGACCGGGACAGAGACAGGGGGCAGGTTCTCGTCAGCTCACGCTGGGCTGTTTCCCTCCAGAGGCGCCTCAAAGACGCCTGTGTGCATCCTGCTCCAGGAAACCTCCCGTGGAAGCTGGGAGCCCCAGGAGGCTGCTGAGCGAGGGGAGGGTGTCGCGGGGCCGGCTCCAGGGAGGTCCCTGCAGACCCAGTGAGGCCCTGCGCCCCCGTCCTTGGTCCCAAGGTTTGCAGATGCCGCCCGGCTGGGGGCTGTGGGCTTGGCGGGAGCGGCCTGTGGGAGTCCGGTGCGATCTGGGCGATGGCTGCCCCTCTGAGCCTGCTCCCTCCTGGGTGGAGCAGGGGTGACGCCCCGAAGCTCAGCTCGTCTCGCAGGACGGACTGTGGGGCCGCAGGGGGACGAGGCCCTCGGTCGTGTAGACGCCCCATGGGGAGACCAGCGCGCCCGTGAGCGGGGCGGCACCTCGTGGCCACTGTGCGGTACTGCTGGCTTCCCCAGCGGCCGACAAGAGACCTTCACCCCGGCGTTTACTGAAACCCTGCGGCCCGGCCCTGCCCAGGTGGGACAAGACCCCAGCCCTGCGCTCGCGGGGCCCACAAGACCATCATAAGCGCCATGAAACGACCCTGAAGGCCCCTCTTATTTACGTACAAAAGGAGGCCCCGCCTTAGATGGGGGGTCACGGAAGGCCTCTCGGAGGAGGTGGCTTTTCCACATGAAAAGTGAGGGGTGGCCAGCGCTTGGGCCTGGGACAGCAGGGGCTTGGTGTGTGTGGCAGAAAGGAGGGCTGCAGGGTGACGAGAGGGCGGGGGAGAGGGTGCTGGGGCAGCGGCCGGCAGGAGCCAGTCGGGGACCCTGCAGACCCGCCGGGCGCTTTGACAGGATGGGGTGGGGCTCAGTCACGAGTCGTTGCGGGACAGGCAGCCCCCAGTTGGCGGCTTCACGCCGTGAGGATTTACCCCCTGCCGTGGCTCTGCACCCCGCGGGCTCGGTGGGGCTCTTGGGTCCAGGCGGCGTCTGCTGGGGCCGGGACGTCGAGCTGGCGTCCTCCTCCGGGCTGCTCTCCTCCTCCAGCCTGTCTCGTGCACACGTGGACTTCGTTTTCCCGGTTATTCGTGACACCAAGCATCCGCTCACGTCTCCACGTGGACTTCCCTCTGTGGTGTGGCCTCTTCATGGCTTTTCCCTGTTTTTCACTTGATTTATCTGTTTTCTCACGGATTCACAGACGTTCTCTGTCTGTGTGGTGCTAATGCGTCATGTCTGTGGCGCGTGTCTCTGTGTCTGGTGTCACGTCCTTCAGAGCCCTCGATGGTCGGAAATACTGAAGTTTTGATGGCTGAATTTCTTGGTCGTTTATGATCAGCGCTTTCTGTGTCTTGTTAAGAAAAAGTCCTTCTCTGGCTCGACGGCCGCCTTCTCCTCCTCTCGTGAGTTTACGGGTCTGTTTGGACTCTCTCGTCTGGAATTCATTCACAGCTGGTTTCTGTGTGTGGTGTGAGGTGGGCGTGGGAGGAAGAAGGACGACCCCAAAGTTCCACGTCCGAACCCTGGGCCTGGGAACCTGTCAGCTCTCGTGGCCGAGGGACGTGCCGGCATGGTCATGGTCACGTCCTGGAGGATCCCGGCGGCCGGGCCTAATCGTGTGGGCCCTTCCCCAGCGGCGGTCGCGCAGAGGGAGACGGGAGGCTGGCCTCGCCCTGGAGATGCAGAGGGGCCGTGGGCCGGGGCGCGAGCACAGCCCTTGGGCGGCACCGGCGAGGACGCAGACCCATGCCGGCACCGCACGGACCTGAGTGCTGCCAGTGCCGAGCGAGCGCGGAACAGACCCTGTGGAGGAACCAGCCGGCCCCCGTCCCGATCGGAGCCCAGTGACGACCACCGCGGGCTGCCGACCCCCGAGCTGTCGGATGATGAATTCCTGCTGTTTAAGCCTCGAGGTTTGTGGCGGTTTCTTTAGGCAGCAGCAGAAAGACAGTCCAGTAGGGACTCAGTTTTATTTCCACCCTGAGTGAACCCCGGGGGCCAGCGCTACACGATGGACGTCCCTCCCCTCCCGCCACTGCCGTCCCCTCTCTGTCCCCTTCGAGGTGCCGTCCACCCCCAGCCTCTCCTGATGCCCCTTTACTTTCTGCTCAAAATGACGCCACACGTCCGGAAGTCGGCACCCGGCTTCGGCTCCTCGGCCACGGACGTTCCAGTTCTCCACGTGTCTGAGCAGGAGGAATGGACCCTCCGCTCCCCCTTCGATGGCTCCGGGGCCCCGACCCCTCAGCGCCTCCTCCTGGACCTCGGGTAGTGGCCTGGCGGGAGGGGCAACGCTCCGGAGACCGGGCCACACGCTGCTCCTCCCCTGGGACCCGGAGCCCAGTGCCCACCTCGGCGCGGCCGGCTGGGACCCTCCTCCCTCGTGGGGTCGTCACGGGAGCGGAGCCCAGAGCCAGGCCGAGTTGGCGAACGCTCTTGGCCGCTGGGTGTGGCCGATCCGGACTTGCCCTCGTTTGAGTCTCAACGAGCGTCTTCGAGCAAAGTGGACTCGTCTTTGAACAAAGATTTCTTTTTTTGTTTTTAAAGATCTGCCCTGAGCTAACATGTGTTGCCAATCTTCTTCTTTGTTTTTTTTTCTGCTTCTTCTCCCCAAAGACCCCCGGTACATAGTTGTGTATTTTAGTTGTGGGTCCTTCTAGTTGTGGCATGTGGGACGCTGCCTCAATGTGGCCTGACGAGCGGTGCCATGTCCGTGCCAAGATCTGAACTGGTGAAACCCTGGGCTGCCGAAGCGGAGCGCGAACTTAACCACTCGGCCGCGGGGCCAGCCCCCAGAACAAAGATTTCTTAATTTTTTTTTTTAGTGAGGAAGATTGGCCCTGAGCTAACATCTGTGCTCATCTTCCTCTATTTTCTATGTGGGACGCCACCACAGCGTGGCTTGATGAGCGGTGTGCGGGTCCACAACCGGGATCCAAACGCGTGAACCCCAGGCCGCTGAAGTGGAGCGTGGGCGCTTAACCACTGCACCCCCGGGCCCGGCCTTGAACGAAGATTTCTTATAGAACTTGCAGCAACGACAGAGCCCTCTGGTGGCAACAATGCGGCATTTCTCTCTCTGGGGAAGACGCCTGCAGATGAGTCAGTGCGTGTGGTGAGGGTCTAGGACCCTTCAGGCCAACGGGATTTTCCGGGGTCTCCCTGTTCGGACCAGATGCTCAGGGGCCTTTCTGCCTGGAGCCCTCCCAGGGCCCCTCCCCTCCCCCCGTTTCCTGACGGAGGGGACGGCGAGGCCCCACCCAGAAGCGAAGCGTCAGAGGGACGGGCCGAGGAGCTGGAAGGGGCTTTGCCGAGTGTGGGGGATGGACTGGCTCCTTCACACAGCGAGGGTTCGCCCGGGCCCTGGGGTCGGCCAGCCTGTGCGGCGACGCTGTGTCAGGTAGGGGCAAGGCCCTGGGGAGCTGCTGTGCGGGCAGCGGAGCGGGACCTGGGGCAGGGCTGGGAGGAGGGTTGGGACGCTCCCTATGTCGGGGAACTTGAATCTTGACGGTGAGCAGGACACAGCCAGGCACAGAGGGCAGTCCTGCTGGGCAGGGGACGTGGCTCCTGGGACGTCCTGCAAGGGATCCGCCGAGGCTGGGGCCTGGCGCGTGGGCCCTGACGGTACTTGGTAACCGTCACTTTGCTTGGACGACGTAAGACAGCCAACTCCGAACACCAGCTGCAGCTGAAGATTTTTCTCATGAGACGTGGGGCTGGAAGGGTGAGTACCGGTTGGGGGGCTTTTGGCTGCAAGGAACAGAAAACCCGCTACAAGAGCTTAGTCCTAAGGGGTTAATTGTGTCGGGTAACAGGAAGCCTGGACACAGAGAAGCCTCCAGGGTTGCCAGGTTCAGAGGCTCAGCAGTGACACCGAAGACGTGTCCCTCAGCTCACTGTCCTCCAGCTGGCAGGCCTCACGGTCACAATATGGCTGCCTGAGCTCAGCCATCACAGACAGTCTCAGAAATAACCAAGAAGAAAGGACAGCGTCTCCTTCCTGTGTCTTCTTTCAAGAGAGAGGACGCCGCCCCAGAAGCCTCTGCAGGTGCCCCTCAGGCCTCATTCCTGAGCCATCCTGGTGAGCTGGGAGACCAGCACCAGCCCCTCCACCTGGGCACAGGTGGGGTCTCTTATAGGAAAACGTGGGTGGAGTCGGGTACGCTCCAGCACTGACTCTGCTCCAGGTCTACCGTTCATTCAACGATCTTCCCCAAGAGCCTGCTGTGGGCTGGGCACGGTTCTGGGCACCTGGACACACAAGGCGTGGATGCCCTCGGCCCCCGGTCTGGGAGGCGACTCTCACGAGGCAAAGACAGATGCTGAAGGGGAGAGCAAGTCAGTCAGTGTCGTCGCAGGTGGTGCCAGATGCACAGAGAAACCAAACGAGCCTGGGATGCAGAGGAACCGGGAGCGGGGCCGCCCTCCTGAGGACCCACAAGTGCAAAGGCCCCGAGGTGGGTCTGGGCTGGCAGGAGGTGGCAGAGTGAGCGCCCCGGGAGCAGCTTCTGCGTCGTCGGGTGAGGGGCAGCTGTGGATGTGGGGGAGTGGGGGTGGCGGAATGCGGCCCGAGAATGCGGACGGCCCTTCTCCTGTTGCCGGGCGACCACGGACACACTTGGTGTTGGGGAGCAAGGCTGCAGGGCCGGGAGGCCCAGTCCATGGGGGACCACTGGCTGAGTTCACTCAACAACCGCCACGGCTCAGAGGCCAAGGGCAGGTCAGAAAGGGGGCAGGATGATGACACCCCCAGCCCCCTCGGCGCCATGTACCAGCACCGAGGCTCCAAGCACATGGACGCCGGGGAGCTGGGGTCCCACGACCAAGAGGAGGAGATTCCCCCCGAGGAGGTGTCCGGAGAGGAGTTCCTGGACACCCGGGGCCCGGGAGAGGCGCTGCCCGGGCTGGAGAAGGATGAGGAGGCTGTGTCCGAGATGAGGTGGGTGGCGGAGTGGGCTGGGCCGGGCGGGGTGGTGGGCAGGGAGCCTAGTCCCCGCCGTGGCTCCAGGTGTGCGGGCTGAGATGGGGTGGGCAGCAGGCACGGCCCCATCTGGGTGGGGGCCACCCAGAAGCGCAGGTCTGGACTCGCACAGAGTTGAGAGGCCAAGCTGGAAACTCTCCCGGGTCAAAAGCCGAAACCACTCCGAGTGCCACAGGCTGCCAGACACTTCAGCGTGGCCGGGGTGGGGGGGGGGGGCGAGTGCCTGCTGGACTGAGCACCTTTGGGGCGTGACCTCTGGCAGTGGTGGCATCCCAGGGAGAGCCAGGCGCTCCCTCTTGGCTGCGTCCCTCTGTCTGTCCCTCCATCTGTCCTTCCGTCTGTCCCTCTGCCTGCCCGCGGGGCAGCTGCTCTGGCTGGACGCAGGAAGGAGCTCCATGCCTCTCCCTCGCTCCGTCTTGGCGTCTTGTGTCCTCTCCACACCCAGCGGGACGCCCGCCCTCTGTGCACAAGTGACGTCCTGCTCTTGTGAGCTTGTGCGCTGTGGTGGCCCTGGCAGGTGGCGCGGGCCGTGCAGGGACAGGCGGTGTCGGGTGGGCTTCCCGGGTGTGGCACACAGTCGGCACGTCACACACGCTTGTGATGAGAAGTGCCCCTGAGGTGGGAGCCGTTGGTCCCGTCTGGAGACAAGGGCACTGGGGGTGCCGGTTGGGTCCGAGTCGGGCTGGCCGTGGAGCCGGGGTCCGTCCAGGGGCCGGGCAGGGGCCGAGGAAGAAGGGGCAGCGAGCGGCTCTGACCTCATGGCCGACCCCCCCGCAGCCGGCTGTCGGTGTCCCAGAGGCTCCCGGGCGCGGCCGCCATGCGAGGCAGGAAGAAGAGAAGGCGGCTCCTGGAGCTGGCGAAACCCAAGACCAACTGGCAAGTGCTGAGGGACAGGTGAGGCTGCCGCGGCGTCGCGGGAGCCCGATGAGGGGGGCGGGCGCCGCGAGGAGGTGCAGCCCCGGGTCCCCTCCGCCTTCTGCCCCGGGCCGCCCGCCCCTCCGAGCTCGGTCCCTCCTCCCGTCATCCCCGCACGGTACACTTGGGCAGGTGCAGAGGGAGGCGAGAAGCCAGGGGGCGCCGGCGGGCGGTGCGGGCGGTGCGGGCGGGCGGGCGCTGGAGCCAAGGCGCCGGCCTGTCTCACCCAGCACGGCCCGCCGCTGCCAGGGCTTTGCCTGGATCTCCCCGCGCTTGTGGAGCCTGCAGGTCTGTGTCTACTGGTGAGTCCAGGGCGCCACCCCCACCTCGGCCCGGCAGGCGGCCAGGCGCCGGGCTCCCCTCGCTCCACAGCCTCTCGTGCCCTTGGGGCCAAGGATGGGGCGCCCACCCCAGGGCCTCTCCTGACCCACCGGGTGTGTGGGCCCTGTCGTCCCGCCACGCGGCCCGGGCTCCGCTCCTGGTGTTGCCTTTCTTTCCAGCTCCCCGTTCTCCGAATGTCAGCTGAGAATATTCTCCATCCCTCGTCATGGCTGCTCCTCCGCGTCCCCTCGCTCTCCCTCCCCCTCCTGCCGCCCGCCCTGCTGTCTCCCGTCGGTGTGGCCGGCGCCTGAGTTCTGTTTCAGGGCAGCCCCCTCACTCTGAGCCGCGCCGGGCTGTGTTCCAGGCCATCCACGTACTGGACGGAGAGGTTTCTCGAGGACACCACCCTCACCGTCACCGTGCCCGGTAGGTCGAGCCGCCGCCTCCCCCTCTCCCTCGGGGGCCGCTGGCTCAGGGGCTGTCCTGAGGGGCTCTTGTCCCGCCCTGGAGCCAGGCCACCCGTCTGACTCGCTGCCCCCAGTCTCCTGGGTGGGTCACCCCACCGCCCCCTGACCTGTGACTCGCTCCGACTCGGGGGACCTCCCCAGCCCCAACCTCCCAGGAGTCCCTGCGGCCCCCCAGCCCCCAGGCCATCGTCTCTGGCTCTGTCCCCTGAGGAGCTGCAGCCAGCTGGACGCTGTCGTGGGGGAGACGGGTGGGGCGGACGCTCTGGGGAAATCCCAATTTGTGCCCAAAAGGGGGTCAGTGTCAACGTCACAAAGGACCCTTTGCCCTCCTTTCCACGACGGTGTCTGTACTTTCTGAGGGCAGCGCGTCCCTTTAAACAAAAGACTGGAGGAGGCTGGAGGCTGGCGGGCAGCAGGGTGGGTCCCGGGGTTCGATCTCCCCGCAGTGGACACTCTGGGCCTCCACCAGCTCCAGCCCCAAGTCCACTTTCCCAACCGGCGGGTCTTCGGGGCCGCACTGAGCTCCGGTCCACCCCCCCGCTCCCACCCCGTGCGCCCCGACCTCTGAGCCCTTGTCCCCAAGATGGGGACAGCAAGTCACCCTCTGCCAGGACGGCCGCCGAGCTTTTGGCCCGCAGCCCCTGGCTGAGCCTGGCGCCCGAGCCGTGCAAAGCCGCGATCAGGAGGAGGGGAGCCTGGGCGGCAGGCGTCGGCTGGAGCTGTGTCCCGTTGCGCAGTGGTGTCCCGCCGGGTGGAGGAGCTGGCCCGACCGAAGAGGTTCTACTCGGAGTATTACAACAGCAGCAGGTGAGGCCCGGCCACGGCCCACCGCTGGGGGGGGCGGCGGGGGAGGACACGTGACGTGGTCCGAGCTCCACGCATGGCGCTCATCACCGCGGTGGATCCAAAGAGCCAGCAGTTGTAGGACGTGGTCGTTTTATGTGCCACGTGGGACCCGGTTCTTTGTCACTTAGTTTCATGTTCATTGAAAGTGACCTTCAGAGGTAAGCAGACAGATTTCGATGGCCCGTCTTCAAGCGCACGAGAAAGAAAAAGACAACTGGACTGAATTACTCGTGTTTGGAGTCACCTTTCCGCTCAGAGAGGGTGACATTCCACACGCGGCTTTGCTGCCCGTCTCTGTGACGACTTCTCGGTTAATGCCGAGTTGTGTGTGACCTGAAGACGGTTTAAGTGCGTTTAGACGTGGCTTCTGTAGAACCAGGGAGGCAGGGGGCTCGGCGGAGGTGATCTCAGCGCACGAGGGGGCAGCGAGGCGGTTCTGAGCTGCTTCCCGGCCCGAGTGGTGGAAGGTGCTGCATCGCTGACACCCGATGTTGGGGGCCCGGGCCCAGCGAGCTCAGGGGGAGCTCACTCCCCAGATTCTGTGGTGGCTGCAGGACCCACGTGGCGTCCAGCCCCGATGACCGGGTGGGGAGAAGGCCTGGGGTCTGTCACCACGGGGTGGGCGGAGAAGCACGGAGCCTGAAGACGCCATTGCAGGGTGAGGGGCGACCTCAGGACAAGGTCGCTCCGTCCTTGAGAACACTTGGGGCCTCTGTCGGGGGTCCTCTCATGAATCCCCCCCTGGGGGGCGTTTTCCGAGCCCCAGAATCAGAGGGGAGCTTCTGGAACGCACAGAAGCACAGCCGTGCCCGGGCTGAGCGGGGTCTCCGGCGTCGCTGTCCCCTAGGACCACCCCCATCTGGCCCATTTCCAAGGCCACCCTGGAGTGCCAGCCGTCCAGCCGCCTGCGGGAGCTGGCCACCCCGAAGGTCCGGAACAACATCTGGAGCCTCAACATGTCCGAGGTGGGTGCCGCGCCCTCGGGAGCCCCAGCAGACGAGAGGGAACACATGCAGCGCACGGCCGTGCAGCCACCCTGTTGAACCCTCGGGCTCACGGGGGTTTGCCCAGGAAAAGCTCCCTCTTCCTCTCGCCTGAGCTCTCTGCCACATGTGGGCGCCATGCGGCCCCGTCCGGCCGCCCTGCGCCAGCCTCCTCTCTCGCCCCGGGAGGGCCCCTCCTCCCGGCTCCCGTTCTGCCCCCGCGGCGGTGCGTCTGAGGCCCTGGCGGGGGTCGCAGCTCAGGCCCCCGAGGTGCCGAGTCCTGTCCTGTTGTCCGGATGGACCACACTCGCCTGCTCGATGGCGTTCCTGGTTTTCGCCCGTTGCAGACACAGCAGCTGCGGACATTCGCGCAGTTTTGGGGGTGTCTCCACGCTCCAGGGCGACGGCTGGGTCTAGGGTGCGACCCGCCCCCCAGAGTGGCCGTCCCGTGTGCTCCGCACCGGCGTCTGTCCGCTCGTCTGTCTGCTCCCTCGTTTCTGTTGGGCGGTTCTCGCAGACGCGCCGTCCCGCTGTGGTTTGAAGCTGCGCTGAGTGACGCGCGGTGCGTCTCCCCGTGGGGTTATCTGCAGATGCCCACCGAAAAGATTCAAGCAAATCCAGACGTCAAGCTATTTCTCTGTTCAACACTTCAGTGCGTTTCTGACAGACAAGGACGTGTTGTGGTGGTTGTTTTGGGTTTTTTTGTAGTTGAAAGTAACACGTTTCTATAATGTGATACTTTTTTTTTTTACTTTTATCCTCTTTTGCAATTTTGACAATTTATAGTGACTTCATAGTTTTGTACTTCTATCCTTTTTAAAAAAATTTCTTTTTCATTGCAGTAACATTGGTTTATAACATTATATAATTTCAGGTGTACATCATTATATTTCAATTTCTGTGTAGATCACGTCATGTTCAGCAGCCAGACTAATTCTAGCCCCTCCCCCACATGAGCCTAATCACTCCTTTCACCCCCCCGCCCCGACCCCATGGTGACCACCAGTCCAATCTCTGTTGCTGTGTGTTTGTCTGCTGTTGTTTTATCTTCTACTTATGAGTGAGATCATGTGGTATTTGACCTTCTCTCTCTGACTTATTTCACTCAGCATAATACCCTCAAGGTCCATCCACGTTGTCACAAATGGCCAGATTTCGTCATTTTTTATGGCTGAGTAGTATTCTATCCCGTATAAATACCACATCTTCTTTATCCATTCGTCCCTTGATGGGATTGTGTATAATGCTGCAGTGAACACAGGGGTGCAGGTATCTTTATGCCTTTGCGTTTTCAAGTTCTTTGGATAAATACCCAGCAGTGGGATACCTGGATCATATGGTAGATCTATTCTTAATTTTCTGAGGATACTCCAAACTGCTTTCCACAGTGGCTGCACCAGTTTGCACTGCCACCAGCAGTGAACAAGGATTCCCATCTCTCTACACCCTCTCCAGCATGTGCTGTTTCCTGTCTTGTTGATTATAGCCATCCTGACCGGAGTGAGGTGATACCTCATTGTAGTTTTGATTTGCATTTCCCTGATAGCTAATGACGTTGAGCATGTTTTCATACGCCTGTTGGCCATCTGTATATCTTCTTTGGAGAAATCTCGGTTCAGATCTTTTGCCCATTTTCTAATTGGGTTGTTGGCTTTTTTGGTGTTGAGCTGTGTGAGTTCTTTGTATATTTTGGATATTAACCTCTTATCTGATATATGGTTTGCAAATATCTTCTTCCAGTTGTTAGGTTGTCTTTTCGTTTTCTTGATGGCTTCCTTTGCTGTGCAGAAGCTTTTTAGTTCGCTGTAGTCCCATTTGTTCATTTTTTCTACTGTTTCTCTTGCCGGTCAGACACGGGACTTGAAAATATGCTGCTAAGACCGATGTCAAAGAGCGTACTGCTTATGTTTTCTTCTAGAAGTTTAACGGTTTCAGGTCTTACCTTCAAGTCTTCAATCCATTTTGAGTTGATTTTTGTGGTGGTGTAAGATAAGGGTCTATTCTCATTCTTTTGCATGTGGCTGACCAGTTTTCCTAACACCATGTGTTGAAGAGACTGTCCTTTCTCCATGTATGTTCTTGGCTCCTTTGTCGAAAATTAGCTGTTCATAAACGTGTGGGGGTGAGGACGTTTTAAAAACAGCCATAATAACAATGATCATCGTGAGGAAATTTAACAGTAACATCTTAATATCAAATACTCACTCCGAGTTCAGTTTTACCAGTTGAGTCAAAACAGGCTTTCTGTGGCCACTTTGGCGAATCAGGATCCGAAGGAGGGCGCTGGCCTTTTCACTGTCCCTCCAGCCGTCCCTCCTCCAGCCCGTCCCTCCTCCAACCCGTCCCTCCTCCACCCGTCCCTCCGGCCCGTCCCTCCTCCGACCCGTCCCTCCGGCCCGTCCCTCCTCCGACCCGTCCCTCCTCCGACCCGTCCCTCCGACCCGTCCCTCCTCCAACCCGTCCCTCCTCCAGCCCGTCCCTCCTCCGGCCCGTCCCTCCTTCAGCCTGTCCCTCCTCCAGCCCGTCCCTCCTCCGGCCCGTCCCTCCTTCAGCCTGTCCCTCCTCCGGCCGTCCCCCAAGACTGGAGACGCACCGTGTGCGCATCAGACCCCAGGATGTCCTTGATTAGAGCAGTGACTGTCCTCTTTATGGAGGACAATTTCAACAGGAAAAGGACGCAGAAAGAGGGAAAGAGGAAAGTTCTGGGTGACCTTAGAGGTCATTTCAGCGGATGCCCTGCCTCCACGCCGGCTCCTGCCAGCCCTGTACTGAGCATTTGGGAACATTAAATACACGCACACGGGCACCGACCAGCATTTGGCAGGTCTGGGAGGAGCCCATCTCCTCCTCTTTAAGGGATAGTTCACTTCACCAGCTGCCCCGTGCCCCCTCCGTCTCCAGGGCCTCTGGAGCGCCCGTCGCTTTCCACTCGTCAGTGCTGTCTCCTCACTGTGCAGTGGGCAGACGACTTCACACACAGAGGAGCCCGAGGTGCACTGGGCCAGGAACGAGGGTCAGCGGGCCGTGGGGGGCAGCCTGGGAAGAGCGGTCTGGTCTGCGCTGTTCTGGGGCCGGGAGCCGGTGACCAGCAGCCCCCAGAGCTCAGGCCGGGTGCCACCCCGAGCAGCTGCACCAGGGCCGACCGTCTCCGTGGGGCGTGGATTCCCCAGGAAACGCTGCGAGGTCATCTCTGGGGCCAGCGGGTCCCGCTTCTCAGGGAAACGTCTGCAGAGTTTCCCACCGTCACCCCCACTTGTCGCCATGAGCTCAGCCTCGTTTCCATCATTTTATGCTTTATTGCACGTGTGGACCCGGGAGCCATAATCGCCACATCTCGTGTTTTTAACGTGCTCCTCCGGCAGCTTGGCTTTCTCGCTTTTCCCCTCGATCTGTGCTGCCTGGAGCCCTGCCCACTGATGGTACCGAAGCAATGCTTTTGCTGCTGGACTGTGTCCTCTCGTTCAGACATACTGCAGCCAGCTCGCGCAGCCCCCAGCGATGGCAGCCAGGAGTGTGCTGTGAAAACGCCACAGCGCTCACGTCCCTGTACTCGGCCGCCGGGGTTTCCATTCGCAGTGTCATCCTGTGAGCACGCACAGCTTTATGAGGTGGACAGGTTGCTGTCCACAGAAGTGTGTGTGAGGGTTTCTTTCTGCCCGTGTTCCTGCCGGGGCTTCCTAGTGTCAGACTTTCTCAGTTTTGCCACATTTTTTGGCAGGCAGGGACATTTTATTTTTTAATTTACGTTTCCCTGGTCCACAGGGAGGAGTGTTGACCATTTAGCTTCCTCTCCTGTATGATTAGCCCAATCCTACTGGTTCTTTGGGTTGTTGATTTAGAGTAGCTCTTTACATATGATGGCTACCACTCTTTTGCTGAGCACATTAGTCTTTTTGTGTTATTTTTGGGGTCTTTTTGATCCAGTGGCCTGTGGGGAATTGTAGACTGCGCTGCTCTTCCCTCTAACTCTTTTTCCAGGTGTCCCAGGTGTCCCGGGCCGCCCAGATGGCCATCCCCAGTCCCAGGATCCTCCAGCTGGCTAAGCCCAGGGCTCCAGCCACCCTGCTGGGAGAGTGGGACCCCGTGCTGAAGCCCAAGCCCCACGTGTCAGACTACAACCGCCTCCTCCACTTGGCCAGTAAGTCGGTCCATGGGGCTTGGTTCCTAGGAGGCCCTGTGTCCCTTCCCCTGGACACGGGCCGGGGTGGGGGGGCTGCTTCTGCCAGATTCCTGCTCCCTCCTCCTTCAGCTCCTCCTGAAACTGCAGACCCGCCCGCCTCCCTGGGGTCCACTCCTGCCGCAGCCTGCGGGCTCCCGGGGCTGGCAGAGGGGCTGCTCCACAGGGAGAGAGGCGCAAGGGAGAGGCTCGTGGTCCTGATGCAGGGGGTGCTGGCTGAGAGAGCCGCCCATCAGGGCGAGTGGGTGCAGAGAGAAAGTTGGGTTGCACGGCTGGGGGCCCGAGAGCCAAGCTGGGGTGCGAGGGCAGCTTTAAATCCGTGTGGGCCCAAACCCCTTCCTGCCTCCAAGCGAAGGGTCCTCATGCGGAGGTTGCATGCTTGTCGTAGGGGATTCAGAAAACGCGGGAGGACATGCAAGGAGGAGTCCTGCCACCAGGGACAGTGCTGTTTGCAGGTTTCCTTCTGGACACGTGCGGCCTGGACACGCAGACCCGGGTCGCAGAAGGGGGACAGGGAGGGCACAGTAGGTCCCCGTGTCTTCCCTCGGGGGCTGGAGACGGTCCGTGTGGCAGATGACCTCACTGGCATCCAGTTGTGGCCACATTCCCAGGAGGTCAAAGCTGCGGCCAGGTCAGGCATGAAGTCTTGGTTTGCTGACGTGGAACTTAGTGCAAGCGACTCCATTTTAGGCCTGTTGTCTCTTTTTTAACAATTCCCACCCCTCCCCAGCCCCTGGCCCCCACGAGCCCACTCTCTGTCTGTGGATCTGCCTGTTCTGGATGTTTCCCGTCAATGGGGTCACACGCCGTGTGTCCTTCTGTGTCTGCGTCTCTCCCTGAGCGTCGTGTGTTCAGGTCCGTCCACGTGCAGCCGTGTCAGGGCCTCGCTCCTCTTCACGGCTGCGTCATATTCCAGTGTGTGGGGGGACACGTTCTCTTTGTCCATCTTCCATTGCCAGATGGGCCACTGGCCTCGGGAGCTTTGACCCGCAGGTTGATCTCGCAGGGGGAGTGGCCTGGCGCCTGACGCTGTCCTTCTCTCCTGCCCCCTCAGCGCCCAAGGCCCAGTCGGACCAGTGTGTTCCTGACCGAGACCCACGCTGGGAGGTGCTGGAGGTCACCAAGAGGGCAGTGGCCAGTCCTCGCGTCGTCTCCCTGGCGAAGCCCAAGGTGCGCAGGGGCCTGAGCGAGGGCTACGACCCCTACCGCATCTCCCCGGCCTCCCTGGTGGCCCAGGCGTCCCCTCGCCTCTACGAGCTCGCCACCCCCAAGAGCATCACCAAAAAAGTGTGAGTGACCCAGGCCCGGCCTCTGAGGCCCGTTCCCAGTAAACACCAAGTGCATCTGAACCCTGTGTGTGGCTGCTCCGAGTGCTCCAGCCTGGAGGGAGGCGGCAGGACCTCGAGAGGAGGGATAATAATAATATTTATGTTGGGACCCAACCTGCGGTCTGTCCAGCCCTTTTATTTTCCAAGTCACTTTCACCTGCGCCTCAGGTTCTCTGAGGTCGGACTTCGGCCTTGTCCACGTCAGAGCCGCCCTCGGAACCTCTCACATCCAGCTGCGTTCTGGGGTCCACACACACCGCAGACTCGGAGAGAACAAGCTGATGCTGACTGCACGGCTCGTTGATCTTTATGGCGACCCAACGATGGGGCTATAATTGTCCCCATTCATGAGATGGAAACTGAGGCTCAGAGAGACTGGGAAGGACCCACAGGCCCTGTGTGGGTCTCCTGTGGCTGCTGTAACAGACCACCATGAACACTGGCTTCAAACAACACATACTTATCGCCTCACGTCCTGGGCTCAGGAGTCCGACAGGGTCCCACGGGGCTAAACCCAGGGTGGGCAGGGCGGGTCCCCCCAGAGGCCCCAGGGGAGGAGCGCGTCCCGCCTCCTCCAGCTTCCAGAGGCGCCGCGTCCTGGGCTCGGGGCCCCTTCCTCCGTCCGCACGGCCAGCAGTGCAGCGTCCCCATCTCGGCCTCTGACCCTCCCGCCTCCCTCTGCTCAGGACCCTGGGATGACCCTGGGCCCCGGGAATCCAGGGTCACCCCCATCCCAGGGGCCTTTACTCAGTACCACCTTCAAAGTTACCATGTGAGGTGACACACCTGCAGGTCCTGGGATGAGGACGGGGACGTCTTTGGGGCCGTCATTCAGCCCACCACAGTGGAGAGAGAACTTTTCTGTCTCTAAAACCCTAGACAAAGTCTTGTACTTCACTGGCTCTGACTGGGCCACCTGGGGACCAGTCTCTGGGTCCTGAAGGTGACATCTGACTGGCGTAGGCCAGCCCCTGACAAGCGTTCTCTCAGAGCCCAGCGAGTGTCCGGTCCTGAGCCATGAGCCTGAGAATCCAAAGTCATTACCAGACTCTGAGTTCTTCGAGGACATCAGTTCATTCAACAGTTTAAAGAGCATTTATTGAACACTTACAGGTGCAGACTAGACAGGTGTTCAGAAGAAAAGGGTTAAAAACCCTCATCCTCTTCAGTGATATGAAGATGCAAATCGGTGACTAAGTGACGTTCACAGAGGCCGGGCAACTCGCTATGACAACGTGGCGATTGCTGAGTAAATGGCTCCTGAAGATGGGGTGGGAGAGGTCCTGGTGCGTTTGTTGAGTGAATGGCTGAAATCGCTGACCCCTTCTGTGTCGCTCTGGTGGTGCAACGGGAAGAGGAGGGGGAGCTTTGGAGGACGCAGTCGTAAGGAGGAGCGTGAGTGGACCGACTGGACCCCAGCCCTCTGAGGTCGTGAGCTCCCATCCCGGAAGCAGGGCGTCCTCCGTCCACAGCCTGGACTGTGTGGTCAGCTGAATACGGCTCCAGAGATGGCCAGGTCCTAACCCCGAAATCCGGGAAGACGTTACTTTAAGTGGCACAGGGGCCGTGGGGGCCATAATGGGATCATATAAAGGACAGATGGAGTGAAGGCTGTGAGATAAGATTATCCTGGTCACCTCGTGGGTCCAGCATGATCGCTCGTCCTTATGAGAGGGAGGCAGGGGGAGATGGGACCTCAGAGAACCAAGGTGCTGTCGCCCCAAAGCAGGATGGTCCGCTTTGGCCGTGGAGACGGGGAACCAGTCCCAGAAAAAGCATGTTCTCCCCCGGACCCCAGAGGGAGCATGGCCCGCTGACACCTGGACCTCTGCCCAGTGAGAGCTCTGACCTGCGGGTAACAGACGCGTGCTGTTGTCAGCTACTGAACCCGTGGTAATTTGTCACAGCAGCAAGAGGAAACTCAAGCAGATCACAAGTCACGGAGGCAGCGTTTGAAGACCCTGTACGGTGACCGCAGTGGGGCTGGCGACCCACAGGTGCCTTGAACGACTCCCACCAACACGGGGCCTCGAACTGGGTTCTCAACCGTAGCAACCTGCACAGCAGAGCAAAACGAAACTGCGAGCCACGTGAAAGTCCAAAGTGACGCGCGTGTCCTCTTGCCAAAGGCGCCTCGCACCTCGCATTTAGCGTTCTCACCGAGGCCAAGGTGGAAGCCTCGGGCTTTCGGAGCTTCCAAAACGGAATTTAACTGTCGAGGGTCACGTCAGCCTCGTGGCGAGTCCTTCCCTTGTCCCTCCTCTCAGTCACGACTAGACGACGTCCACTGACCAGCAGAGGATCCACGCGCAGCGGGTGAAGCCTGAGGGCCAGGCAGCTGCACCCCCGCAGGCAGGCGGGCTGGACCCCAGGAAGCAGTGGAACCAGGGGAGCGCCCCCTACCTCAGGCAGTGGTCCAGCACGTGGGAGTGAGTGTGACTGAGCGGAGCCAGGGGCGGCCGGGCCTGTGCAAACGCACCCCACCAAGTGGCGGCAGCCCGGCCCGTGCAAACACAGAGCAGCCCAGCTGGCACAACTGCGAGTAGCTGGGGCAGGAATGGAAAGAACAGCCCCTGCCCCCAGTGGGGGATCCGCCCCCAAAGCATGAGGAACCACAGCAGAACTGGCGGCCCAGCCCCCAGTGGTGGCAGCCCTGGCACCAGCTCCACCAGCAGCAGGGGCTGCGTCCAAGCCCCCGGGGCCCTGGGCCCCCGCCAGTGACAGCAGCACCTGTGAACCCAGCACCCACGGCAGTGGCACCACCAGCACCCAAGACCACCTGGGAGCAGCAGCACAGGTGGTGCACGGACAGCAGGGCCTGCACCCAGAGGAGCACGACACCCAGGTGATCGGAGACAAAGCGACCAAAGCCGTACCCACATAAGAAAAGGTGGCGACTGCCACAGATGCGCTGGCAGAGGGTCAGTTCATGGACACCGTGAGGAACCGTGGCAGCAACGCGGCATCGCAGAAGGAAATGCAGCTCTCCAGAAGCAAACCTGAAGTCACAGGGGATTGCAATCTGGCAGAGAATGCAAAACAGCTGTCATAAGGGAACTCAGTGAGTTACAGCAGACTCAGAAAGCGCAGTGAGCTCGGGGATAAAATCAGTGAACAGAAGGAACACCTCACCAAAGAGATTGAAGTGTAATAGGAAACAAAACAGAAATTCTGGATGTGAAGAACATAGTTAATGAGATTAGAAAAAAATGTAGAAAGCATAAAAAATAGAGCTGACGTTTTAGAGGACAGAATTACTGATTTAGAGGCTAGAAACCTAGAAATTCTTCAGGTGGAGGAGGAGGAGAGAGAATTAAGATGTTTAAAAAATGAAAAAATTCTTCGAAAAGTATCCGACTCAATTAGGAAAAGTAACATAGGCATTATAGGTCTCCCGGGGGGGCGGGAAGGGAGGGAGAAAGGAGCAGAGAGCTTGTTCAAAGAAATAATAGCTGAGAACTTCCCAAACCTGGGCAGGAGCTGGTCATGCAAGTACAGGAAGAAAATAGAACTCCTAATTACGTCAATGCAAAAAGACTTTCTCCAAGGCGTACAATATTGAAACTGTCGACAGTTGATGACAAAGAAAAGTACTAAGAGCAACAAGAGAGAAGAAATGACCCACAAAGGAGCCTCCATCAGGCTTTCAGCGGATTTCTCAGCAGAAACCTTACAGGCTAGGAGAGAGCGGAAGGATGTATTCCAAATACGGAAAGACAAAAATTATCAGCCAAGGATACTCTACCCGGTGAAATTATCCTGCGGTTATGACGGAGAAATAAAAGCTTTCCCAGATAAGCAAAAGCTGAGGGAGTTCCTTGCCAGTAGACCTCCCTACAAGAAATGACAAGGATGCCCTCGCACTGAAACAAAAAGGCAAAGGCCTACAAAGCCTTGAGCAAGGAGACAAATAGTCAGACATGATCAGAAAATTGCAGCTCTATATCAGAGTAGGTTGGCAGACACTTAATTATAACATAAAAGATAAAGGGAGAGAAAGCATCAAAAATAACTATAAACACTTCCATTTAGTCACAAACTTACAACACAAAAAAAGAATAACTTGTGACAACAAAAACATAGAAAGGGAAGGAACCTGCTTAGGCTAATGGAGATAAGAGGCTGTCAGGAAATGGACTATCTCATCTACGAGATCTTTTATACAAACCCCATGGTAACCACTAAACAAAAAATCAGAGCAGAGCCACAAGTCATAAATAAAGAGAAAACTGAGAAAACCATCACAGAAAACCCCCAAACTAAAATGGCAGGGAAAAGAAACAATGGAAATATAGAACAACCAGAAAACAAGTGATAAAATGGCAGCATTAATATGTCAATAATCACTCTAAATGTAAATGGATAGAGTTCTTCAATCAAAAGACACAGAGTAGCTGGATGGGTTAAAAAATGAGACCCAACAATGTGCTGCCTCCGGGAAACACGTCTCAGCTCTAAAGACAAACACGGGCTCAGAGTGAAGGGATGGAAGGTGATACTCCAAGCAAATGGCAAACAAAAGAAAGCGGGTGTCGCCATGCTTGTATCAGACAAAGTAGATTTCAAGATAAACAAGGCAGAGAGAGACAAGAGGGGCAGGACACAAAGATAAAAGGGACACTCCATCGAGAGGACGTGGCACTTGAATATCTATGCACCTAACACAGGAGCACAAAAGTACACAAAGCAACTACTAACAGACCTAAAGGGAGCAATTCACAGCAACACAGTCATAGTAGGGGCCTCAACACCCCCCTTACATCATCCAGACAGAAAGTCAGCAAGGAAGTAGTGGAATTAAATGAAAAACCAGATGGACTTAATAGACATTTATAGAACACGCCATCCCAAATCAGCAGAATACTCCTTCTTCTCAAGAGCACATGGAACGTTCTCAAAGTTAGACCATATGTTGGGAAACAAGGCAAGCCGCAATAAATTTAAGAAGACTGAAATCATATCAAGCATCTTTTCCAACCATAATTTAATGAAACTAGAAATGAACCACAAGAAAAAAGCTG